ATTTCAGTGACCTTACAGGGGTTTTCCAATGTAAATGACTCAATGGTTCTGTCATAGGACTCCAAGGATGAAAACCAGCACCTCAAAGCTGCTTGGCTGCTCAGGCCATCCCAAACCTTTCCTGGGTGCTGCAGGTGGAAAGGGGCAGCAGCAGAGAAGGACTCCACCCACTGCTCCACTCTGCTTTTCTGCTTCATTTGTTCCATTTCAGGCCTTCTCAGATTTTTTCCTAGAATCACAGCATCCCAGAATGGTTTGGACTGGAAGGGACCTTAAAGATTATCTCATTCCACCCTTGCCATGGGCAGGGACACCTTCCACTACCCAATTTGCTCCAAGCTGTGGCCTTGGACACTTCCAGGGATCCAGGGGCAGCCACAGCTTCTCTGGGCACCCTGTGCCAGGGCCTCCCCACCCTCACAGGGAACAATTCCTTCCCAATATCCCATCTAACCCTGCCCTCTGCCAGCTTAAAGCCATTCCCCTGTCATGTCACGACATTCCCTTGCCCAAAGTCCCCCTCCAGGACGGTTTAATTAACACCATTTCAGGTAGGAAGAACTGCCATGGCAGGTGGCTCTGCTGACAGGTTTCCCCCTCCTTTTGTTTAGGAGGAGCAGGGAGGTGTGTAAGGGGAGCTCTGCTGAGCTCCAGCATTCCCAGAGGAGGAAGACTCCGGCTTGGCAGTCTCCAAGCGCCCTCTGGTGCAGACAAAACCAGCAGCTCCAGCAGCTCTGCCGGGGATTTATCCAGAACATCCACCCAGGCACACGTTCATGGGGCTGTCTGGGATTGTGGAAAGGGGGTGACACCCTGCCCTGTGAAGGCAGAGCTCCCCAGGAGAGGCCTTTTGATCTCTGCTCCCTGTGGCCAGGGATAAAGCCCAGGGAACGGCTGGGGCTGTGCCAGGGGATTGGGATGGGTATCAGGGAAAGGTTCTTCCCCAGAGGGTGCTGGCACTGCCCAGGCTCCCCAGGGAATGGGCACAGCCCCAAGGCTGCCAGAGCTCCAGGAGAGTTTGGACAACGCTGTCAGGGGTGGGATTGTTGGAGTGTCTGTGCAGAGGCAGGGGCTGGACTGGATGATTCCTTCCAGCTGAGGATATTCTGTGACTGTGTTGGCTGGACATTGGCACAGGGCTCACAAGACTTTGCTTCAGATTTTACCCAAATTTGTAGTGGTAAATGGGATTGGTCTGGTGGAATTGAGAGGATCAGCTGGAAGCAGAGAAAGGCATAGATGGCTCTTCACAGACCATCCAGCACCCCAGCAGAAAACAGGAAGCTTGGAAAGAAAGAGGCATTTCCAGATAGCACAGAAAGGTAAGCTTGAGAGTTAATAAGGGTATGAAAAGTGGGTCAAGAGGGCAGTGAACAATAGTAAGAAATTTGCTGAGATGACTACAGCAGTGAGAAAGAGGGGAAATAAAAAAGCAATGAAAAAGGTCAGCAGAGCTATTCTAGTTTGGCACTGAGAGCTTGATGGCCAGGCGAGATACATGAGGAGAAACATGCAGCCAGGTTGGGGAGCAAAGAATGACTAACGAGGCATCAGGCAATGGGTTCTGTCTGTCAGGTGCTGCAAACACAACCCCCAGCATGGAGCTGAGCAGGAGTCAGAGCATCATTAATTCAGTGAGGTCTGCTGCAGGCAGGGATCCGGGGTCTCAGTGGGAGCATCTGAGAAATGAGGGAATGAAACGGAAAAGCCATCAGCTCCCTGGGTACTCTGAAATATGAGCTGCAGCTGTAGCTATCTTTGGAAGCATGAAATATCCTGAGTGGGAAGGGAGTCACAAGGATCAGTCATCCAGTCCAACTCCTGGCTCAGGACACCCCAACAATCCCACCCTGTGCATCCCTGGGAGCATTGTCCAAACTCTCCTGGAGCTCTGGCAGCCTTGGGGCTGTGCCCATTCCCTGGGGAGCCTGGGCAGTGCCAGCACCCTCTGGGGAAGAACCTTTTCCTGATATCCAGCCTTCCCTCAGGTCCTGGCCCTGGAGAACTAGAAAAGGTTAACAAGCAGTCAATTTACACAGAACAAGGCTTGCAGGCTGGTTGACAGCATTGAGATTCTACTGAAATCTGCTGAAAACTACTTGGGACAAGCTATTAAACCTCTAATTCCTATAGCTCTGCAACACTAGCAGGCCAATTAATAAATTCATATGGAATCTTTATTAGGAAAAAAATATTTTAAACAAAAAAAGCTTTTGCTGACAGAAGAGAGGAAGGTTAAGATGGCTTAGCTTTGGCAGTAGCAGTATTATTCTCTAACTGCTGTGTCCCAGCAGGAGATCCTTTGGAAAACTGTGCCAAAATCAAGCATGGGTTACAAGAGCCCAGGTCTTCCTTCTAGTGATTTCTGAGAAACTCTAGTGTTTTGTAGAGATGCTGAGGGCTAGTTTATAGGGGATGGGATGTTGCTTAAGATGTGGAAGCAGCACCCCTTTAGCTGGCCTCTGCCTCGCTGCCATGCCAGCATGCCCAGGAAGCAGAGATGTGCTGAGCCAGAGGTTCCTGTGCTGCCCTGGAGCACACACAGCCATGGAGGCCTGGGAGACTGCCCAAACAGCCCCCTGTGCTCAGAGTGGGCTCACAAAGGGCTGGCAAGCTCAGCTCCTCCTCATGGACCTGACACAGCTCTCCTGCCTCTCCACCAGCATTTCTTTGCATAAAACGTTCTGTGTGTGCTGCAAACAGTGAGGCTGCACTGGGAGAAGTGGGTGATGGTGCCAGCAGTGCCTCAAGGAGACAGAGTTTGCATAAGCAAGGGCTCCCTTATGTAAGAGTCCCGCTGTCAAAGCCAGGCCAAAACAGCCCTTTGCTTTTCTGTCATTCTGGACTCGGTGGGGAAGCGTCAATGCAAACATCCCTCCGCAGAGAGGAGAGGCTTGCAACAATAATCTACTGCAAAATGATACTCTCCAGATTTTAAAACACCTTCTGTTGGTCAGGGGCGCTCAGTGAAACATATCAAGCTGTGCTTGGCAAATAAAACCTAGAAAAACTCTAAAAGATAGCAGTATGGAGCCTGCAAAATCTTCTGGGCTGAAGTAAGTGCTGGATTGGCAGCAGTGCCACGGCTCACACTTCCATGGATGTATCACAAACACTTAAAGCAGAGTCATGCTTGAACACTTTGGGCACAGGACCAGGATGCTATGGATTCAGGAATGTTAATGAGCTACTGCTCTGAACTGATAGACTTCAACAAGAAGTCTCTTCCCATCTTTATTCAGTGCCTGGAAGACCAGAGGCTTCAGTCTGTGTGTTGTTGACTTGACAGAGAGAAATACTTCAGTGGAATGTAAAGGAGCAGCACAGCTGGCTCCAAGCTTATTTAACATCCCCATGTTTATACTGCAATACCTATGGGACAAACAGGGCTGTGATATTATTAGTTCTTCTCTGTTTCATTTCCCTCTGAAATAAAGAATCACCACAATCTAAGGAGGCTGGAAAAAGGCCTATATAATCATTTCTCAGTGGGACACAAGAAGGAACAGAAATCTAAGCCTTCAGACACAGTTTCTCCAATGTGACCTGTGAAGCCTGCCTGGGTCAGCAGTTTTCAGTGTATAGAAAAGGAGGCTCAAGTTATGAGGGTCCTTTCTGAGCACAGAAAGGATAAAATGAAGGGTAAAGCCAAGCATCAGTCATGCAGCAAACTGCAAACTAGCAGTATTTCCCAGAAACTGAGGCCAATGCAAAGGAATTTGCTTTTAGGGTTAAGCATGTGTTGGTTAAATAGCAAATCTGCCACATGCTGCATCTGTTACAGCCTCCTTCACACAAACCAGCCCTTTTCCTGCAGGGCTGAAGTACTTCCCAGCTTTGTAACAAGGACAATTTACCTGGTGGCAGGTAGGCTAGACAGGTGTAACACTGCTTTATGGAACATGCCACGGATCCCAGGAAATATCAATGTCAAAGTCACATGCAGCATGGCAGGAGTCAGCACACAGGGGGCCCTTCAAGGCAGGACAGCATCAGACCAAAGTAAATGATGGTTTCCTCCATGAGGGGAAAGAAAGGCAAAGAAAAACTCTTTTTCTCCATGACTGAAACCCACAGATGCTGAGTCTCCCCTGGCTGTATTGGGATAAAGGTGTCCCACAGAGCTCTGTGTGACAGTGACACACCTCCTCCAAGGGTGTGCAGGACTCCCTGTGGGATCGTTCTGCCTCCCAGCACAAACTAGCATCAAGCTCCACAGCCAGAAATATCCACTCTAGGCCCAGGGATAGCAAAGCTTAAATGGTCTTTCATTTCCAGCTTTGTTTTTTGGATTCTCTCCTATTCTTCTACTCATGCAAGAACCTCTTGTGCTTCACCTTCTGAATGTGTGATCCTAGGCCACACAGCTGTCACACAGACAAGCCTGTGCTCAAAAAGCTGCTCTGAGATGTTATTTGATTGCCAGGGAACTCTTAAGTTTAACCTGGAGAAGATCTCCATGCAAAAGACATGGAAAATTCCTGCAGAAGTAACTAAAAGTCAGTTATTTTCCTCTTAACTCCAGGCTGAAGTACCTCCTGGGCGATCACTTTCAATATGCATTTTATTATGTCCAAGGACATAATAAAATAAATCCTAGGAATGCCAATGGCTTTAGAAACCTAGTTGGTGCCTGAAGCAGGTAACTGGTGTGCTCTTACAGCATAGATGGTGACATACTTTGCTCTCATACTTTGGAGTTTTAGTTGCCTCTGGTACTGCTGTAATCAGTTTTCTTCTGCAGGGAAAAAATTAAAATAAGGTATTTCTGTGGAAGAGCCTTTTCTCCAAAAGCAGAGGGAAGAAAGCAACGTTCAGAAATGTGACCTGGGGGGCAGCATGAGTGCTTCTGACAGGGCTAAGACAAAGACACTCTAAACTACAAAACCCTTCAGTCCTGCCACAAGTCCTTCAGACTTACCTGTAAGCAATATTTACAGTATGGGTAAGGATGTGTTTATTCTGTTATGCACCTGACCAGATAAAGAGGAAACACAGCCTTTGCAAACACTTCCCAAGAGTATTTATTAGTCAGGACTGATCTGTGTCAAAGCATGACTTAATTCATACCTCAAATGGTATTTCATCACAGTGCAGCTGCACAAGCCTCTGTTCTCCCTGAACACATCCTTGATATGCCAAGGCAGACTTTAGCACACACACTTTTATTCACATACATCAGTTCCTGCATTTGTTTGGATTTGAGAACAGGAATTCAAGTTTTATTTTCTCTGCCCCAATCATTTGAAAAGTTTCTTTCTTTTCTTCCTCCACTGTTTATTATCCACATCTTCAGTATCATCGGGAGGCTCTGGCATTACAAAGCCATCAGTCATTTTATAGTAGACTATTGTGGAGTCTGTCTCAACTATGGCCAAGGTAACTGACAGCAGGGTGTCAGGATCTTCTGGAGGGAGAGAGGCTTTCTTCAGTATTTCCCTTAACCTAGGAGAGGAAAAAAAAACACTTAGAAAGGAATCCACAACCACCTACGATGGCACAAAGGCAGAACAGCACCATTTTATTCAGCATGTTTTCACTCAGCAAACTCGTCTTCACTAAAGTGAGCATAATATCTGTTTTAATAAAAATCCAAAGTCGTGTAATCAAGCAACAAAAGAAAATAACAGAATCAGTTACACACATCTCTGCTGGAAGTGGCTCAACACACGCTTCTAAGCTTTGTTTAGGTGTACTCGTGTGCCCGTGCCTCAGTCATCCCTCATCCACCACAATCCCAGCACAGCAATCTCTACTGGCCCTGTTTTCAGCAGACTTATATAAGAAATCTAATTAACTAACACCTGGTGTTCAGTTGGAGAGCTGAATAATTAAGACTTGTTCCATTTGCAGAGGTAAGTCTTCCCATCCCTGTGCCACAGGTCTCTGCCAGGAGCCCAAGCCAGGATTCTCTACCTCCCTGTCTAGACTAGAAGCCACAGGACTAATGCTCTTCTTCAGAACAGTCAGCCCAAATAATGTCTTCCTTAAAAGCTCAAGACAAAGTTATGCAATTTTTCCTGTTTAGCTTATTTTAAGAGTAACATGCCAGTTACTTTACGGTTCAGAGCTCAGGACAACACTGATCCCTGGAGTCCCTGCATTCCTGGTCTGACTGGGGAGCAAGTTCTGAAGGAGTGTGGTGACCAGACAGACCCTTCCCCCCATGTCAGGTGCAAGAGGGCTCCTCTGAGATTGCTGGGACAGGTTACATTCCAGGGGGAGTTCAGCTGTGCACCAGGATAAGCCAGTCCTGGCTTCGTGCACCCTGGAGAGCTCACCCAGCAGAACACAGCAGCTCTGAAGCCAGGCAGTGCAGCTGGAAACAGGGCTCTCTCTAAAGGCAGCAGCTTTCAGACTTCAATCACCATCTTCCCTCAGAACCCCTTTGATCCTCTAATAAAAGCCAAATGGAACGTGGCAGAGAATGAGCAGCAGCCTGGAAAGCCTCGCTGTTAAGCCCATGACCTTCCTAAGGACCCATCTGTGTTCTGAGCTGTGCATAATCCAGCCTGGTAACCTCAGGAGGGCCTCTCCTCATGCCTGCACCACTGGCCCAGACACACAGCAAGGCAACACAACACACTGACTTCGTGCCACAGAGATACCACGGCTGGGAAAAGCACTATCCCAGCCCTCCCTCATCAGCACATTTCCTAACAACACAATTAATATGGTGAGAGAGACTGTGCTGGCTGCTTCACAGGAGAGACACTGCAAGAGACTCCTTCAGGTAATGGGACATCCCCTCCTGTGCTCACTGCCACCTCAGCAGGCTCTGTCTGCAGGTTTATTTGGCAGGTAACTTACTCTGTGCCCTGAACCTCTGCCTCCTGTCACTCCCTGTCCCTGCAGAGGTACCCCAGCACCACAATGTCCTGCCAAAGCCCTGGCAGGGGACCAGAGCCTGGGAAAAGATTACAGATCTCCTTCCTGACACATGCAGAGAGCAAGAATCTAATTGCCACATGCAGAATCATGAAATTATTTGGGTTGAAGGGGACCTTAAAGCTTATCCAGTTCTCTCCATGGGCAGGGACATTTCTATTATCCCAGTCTGCTCCAAGCCCCATCCAACCTGGCCTTGGACACCTCCAGGGATGGGGCAGCCACAGCTTCTCTGGGCAGCTGTGCCAAGGCTCCTCCACCCTCAGTAGCCAAGTGTCAGCAGCTGGAGAAAGCTCTGAGCTGGAAGAGACCCTGTGAGGAAAGAACTATCCATAAAGCAGTGGACAGTGATCTCGCTTTCCCCTGTGAATGCAATACAGAATTAATGATAAAACACCAAATTAAAGGCCATAACTACCCAGGAGAGATATTTTGGGAGCCAAAGAAAACAGGTTGTGTTAAATGTGGACAATGAGAGCACAATCTGAGAGCAAACTCAGCCAGAGGCCTGGATTCACCTGTCAGCCAGGGCAGAAGCTCCTTCCTATTTTCTTTAATACCTGTCACTGGTTTTCCTCATAGTCTATAAGGAGGAGGGATGGAACAGTGAGGCCTTAGATCTACATTTCTAATACTCATGATTTCTTCTTATACTGCCAAGCACAAACACCTGAGACTTTATTTCCCCCTATTTAGCAACCAGGACTTCGAAGATGCTCCATGATCCCAAAAGCAGCCAGGTCCTGACAACAGATTAATGACATTTCTTCTTCCTTTTCAGGAGACAAGAGTTCCAGGATTTATGTAAGGAGCACCAAGACACGTCATTGCATCAGGATGATCTGTTAACTCTGCTGTCCACAGATGAAGAATGACAACTGCAAATGCACCCTCTTGCCCTTCCCCCTCCCTCCACAGAGGCAGCCCCAAGACAAGGGCTCTCATTCATGCATACCACAGTAGCTACAGTGCACTGCAGCACATCTGCAACGTGGTGAGAGGCTATCTCTTAGAGGGATAAGCTCTGGAATTCAGGAAGTCTGTGTCAGACATCATCCCATGCCCTCCTCCCCTGCAGGCATCCCCAGCAGCCTCTGTGTCCAGCCTGATCACAACATTCCCCTGCACCTGATCACAACGTTATCCCCTGCAAAGGAGCCATGGAACCTCTGATCTTACTGTGCTTGCTGCCTGCCACGAGCAGGAAGATCAAATACTGCAGGAAAGGTATAGCTTTTGTAATCCTTTTAATGCACCAAATACTGTCTGTGGAAAAATAAAGAAAGCATGAAGCCTCGTTGGTCTTCTGAAATTCAAAGAATGCACGTTGCACATCCTAAACGAGGCAAGAACCCTTTATTTCAAGGCTGCCATCTCACAAACAGCTGCAGTCAATGATGGAAATGAAGTCCTAGGCATGAAGCCATGTGGTAACACACCCCAACAGAGGCAGCTGCTTTAAATTACCCAGATAGTGGCTATCAATAAGCTCCTCAGTGACCAGTACAATCTGCTACACCATACAGGTGATGACAGCCATAAAAGATGAATTTGCTTCAATAGAAGTGGATTTAATGTTTCTGAAACTGTCAAGCATCAGTGCAACAGAGGAATTCAGTGCATCCAGCAGTCTGCAGATTCCAACAGCCTTGACCACCTACTTTCCCCAGCACCCTGAGCAGCCTTTCCCAGTCACAGCTGTGTCAGGACACATTCTGGAACTACTGATAGCTGATGGAACACTGACACCAAGGGGCCCATGACCACTCCCAGCTGTGCTCCAACAGTGGGAGCCCCACAGAAGCTGTGGGGTCAAGCTTTTGGCACAGACTGGCTCCCTCTGGGTCCTCCTTTTCCACAGGAATTCCAGCAGGCCCACTCCACTGCCTGCACAGCCAGTTTTCAGCAGAATGGAGAGAACTGACACAAGAAAAAGTGCAGCTGAGAAACAGTTCCTGCTGTTTTGCAGGGTCTCAGTAAAAGCTCAGCTGCATGTTCACTCAAATCCAGACCTGCTCCCACCAGATCCAGATCTGATCCCTCCAAATCAAACAGGACAAAGCCCTCATTTGCCACCCAGGAAACAAACTCACATTCACCTCAGGCTCCAGGAGATGCAAAGGATTTCACCTAAACATTCTGTTATCCAAACAGCTGGCATTTCTAAACACTTTGCATTAGAAAAAGGGCTTAGAAAAGGCTTCCTAGATACAGACTAGAGTCAGTAGGGATTGCTTTTTTCTACCAAAGAATTAGTCATAGCAGCAGGTTTAACTCACTCAACATTGTGCAAGGAGCACTGCAGCTAAGGGAACAGAAGAAGCAATGTCATCCTGCATCTGTCATTACTGCTGCAATCAAACTTAATGATGGCAGTGAACTGACCCGGCCTTCTATTACTGTGGCAATTAATAGCTTTAAAATAAAACAAATTCCCAAACAAAACAAGAAAATCCATACAAATCTATCCAGAGAGCAGAGGGGAATGTTGCATCCTTTCCCCATCTTACTTTTGCACTACAAGAAAATCCATACAAAATCTATCCAGAGAGCAGAGGGGAATGTTGCCTCCTTCTCCCATCTTACTTTGCACTAGGCAAAAGTAGGCCCTCAACAGCCATCAGAAATCTGTGCTGTGTTTCCCAACATCAGCTCCTAACAAAAGGACACTGCCCCTTTCTCTGGGAGGAAGAGCCAGGTGTACAGCTGCTGACCCTGAGGCTCCAAGTGACTCTGCAAAAACCAAGGGCAGAACCATGAAGAGCTCCAGCAGCACGTTCTGTGATGAACAAAAGAGCATTTCAGAGCACATCCCATGCAATGCCTCTGAGAAGCAGTGTCCCTTGCAAGCTCAGGGCAGTTTTATGGAGGCTGCATAGAGCTCCATTGAGCTGAAATGGAACCACTGCCTTCCATCCCATAAAAGCCAAAGGCTTTCAATCTGCCCTTTATACTTGGATGAATAATTCCTTGCAGGCTTGGCCAGCCTGAACAGCTCCCTCCCCTGCTGGCCAGGCAGGGCTGCAGAGTGCACACAAGTTGGTCTCTGTGCCACTGCAGAGATCATTACCCCAGGCACTGGAGCGTGCCATTGTCCCCATGGCACAGGAACCTCCCAGAGAGCACAATCCCTTGGATTTAGCCAGCACTGCAAACTTTAGCACATCAGGAATGCTGCTCCAGACCCTGCTGCAGGGCAGGCAGCATGGACCCAGTGCTGTGAAATAGGTGGGAAGGAGCACACGGGGCTGGGAGGAGGTGTAAATGCACACCACTGCTCCTGGGGGTTTGTTCCCAAAACACACAAACGGGGAATGCTAGAAGAAACTCAGTTTTTGTAATGGAAAGAAAAAAATAAATGCAAATAAAACACTACATGTCACACTAGTCGGGAGGAGGAATTGAAGCCCTGAGGAACATAAAAGATCTTTTTTCATGGAAGTTCAAGAAGAAAACAAGAGAAACCACCCAAAAGGGAGGTATCAAAGTTCTACAGGAGACACTTATCCACAGTACTGCATAACCCACCCTGCTCTGGGAGCTGCAATCTTATTTAAAATATTAAATTTAAAAATGAAACTAAAAATACTAATAAAGAGCTTACATTTAGGAGCCACTAATTATATTTTCAATGTGTGATTTACTGCATGAGTAAATTATGCTTTTAGCAAGGGAGTTACTGACAAAACTGTGAAGAGGATGCAAGATGCACGTCACACTTCTAGTGCTTTAAAATAACAGGATTTTTCAGTTTATAGCAAGATTTATTTCACAGTCTACAGACTTTGAAGACAGTAAATTCCAGTCCTAAGATTTCCTTCTCAGGATGCTTATCAGCTTTAAAACAAAACATTTATGTATTGCTTTCTTCTGAAGTAAGTCAGCATTTTAACAGAATAAGCCTTTCCCAAACTTCACAGGTCTCCATGACCTCAGGCAACTTCATCCTTCATTTACAACACTTGTACACAAAATACAAACAGAGCAGTGACGTGCCATTTAATCTGACAGTTTATCTGCAACATTCTGCTTAGACAGAGTTATTTGTCCAGGACAGACAGTGCCCAATTCCATTAGATCTGGGACCTAACTCCCTGGTCCCTGAAGGCTCAAGGCTTTCCAGGCTATCCAAAAATCCAGCTGCCAACACTGTGAGCTCTCCTAACTTGCTGAGCTTGGCTTATGAGAGTTATTTCTGCCAGCCCTGAAGCAGCACTCCCAGGATTCACTGCTTCCCCCACAGTGGGGAGCCACAGCTCTGGAATGGACAACCAGGTCCTTGGCATGCACTGAGGTGCTGTAGTGAGCAGCAAACACACCCCAGCCTGCTGAATTCAGAGGCTGTCCAAGCCCCAGCCAGTTCTGTGTGGGTCACAGCAGGCCAAGACAGAAATTGCATCATATTCCCCAGGGCTTTGCTCACAGGAGATTCAGCAATCTCCATCTGAAGAACACACAGAGCACAAAGCCACTTCTCAAGACTCTGCTCCACAGCCCATAATTCTGTAATTTAGTGGGCTCCTGTGTAGCCCTACCCTACCACAGCTGGATGAGCAGCTTCCACCCAGCTCTGCAGAAATGGACAGTGAGCTTAGGAAGCAGAACAGCTTTTGCCTTCAGCACTTAACTGTCATGCTTAAACTGGACATGATGAAATTTTGTAACAGGCTAAAAAACACTGAATGGGTTTTAACTTTTGTAGGGCACTCATGTTTGTCATTTGCCTAGGTGTCCTGCTGGTAATTTCCACAGCAACTTTCCTGTGGCCTTTTAAGGACACACTTCTCAGTGGCAGCCAAGTTGGGAACTTCATGAGACACCTGGGAAGGCAGAGCTTGACCAATATGGATTTCAAATAGAGAACCAACCACCACTACATTTCTCTGGAAGACCAAGCCCACAAAAGTGACTGACTAATATTGGCAAAATGTGAGATCTTTTTTAGCACATATGTAGTACAAAAATCCATTATTTTCCAGTGAATCACTTTTTCTTCTACCAGTAACAAAAACAAAGCAAAATGAAGATGGAAGTCTGATTTCAAGGTGTCACTTCCAAACCCTACTGGTTAAACAAGGAAGTGCTGCCCATAAATGCTGCTGTTACTGGCTTCTTTTGCAGTTAGCACAATTCCAGGCCCAGAACAGAACATTTTCACCTTCCCAAATCCCTCCAAAGGGCTTATTTTCAACTAAGCAAGCTGCATTCACTTGTACTCATACCTCCTCCCCTGCTTTTAGCAGGTAACACAAAACCACAAAGTGCTGCTTGAACAAAATGCAGATGCACTTTCAACACCACAAACACAAGTGTTGTACACAAATACAACCTCCCAGCCTGACAACATCCATGGCTACTGAACACATACAGGAATTTATGGGCACACCTGGCACTGCAGCTGGCATTCAGCTCATTTTAGTGACAACCCACCCTGTGTCACTGCTCTGCAGCAAACCCTGGTTACAAACTGTACTTTTAATCAATGTGATGCATTCACTCTTTGCCTCTCCAGCACACATCCTTCCAGTACTGGATTCCAGACACTCCGGTGCCAGAGGCAGAGCAAACAGCATCACCACAGAACAAACAAGTGCAGAGGCTGCCCATGAAAAGCTCCAATGACACAGAGTAAGATAGGACATGCATGCAGTGGAATATCTGCCATTAAAAATCAATCAGAACACACTCCCAGCCTCTACCCAATGCCAGGAATCCAAGTTTTCAGCCCAGGTGGAAACACACTGTATTAACCAAGCACAACAGCTCAGCATGTAGGTGGAATTCCTCAAAGATCCCATGTGCTCACTGGCTGCCTTCTATTTCCACCTAAAATCCTGTCTGAGCTGAGAGCTGCAGCATGTCCCTTTCACTCACACACACACACACATCTGCTTGCAGACAGGCTGAATGGCACCCAGCATTTCACCCTGCAAGGCCTCTCAGCAGCTCTCCTCTCCTGTGCAGATCACATCACCAAGCCCCCAGGAGTGATTGACCAATACTTGCAAATACAATATTTTTTTTCAGCACAAAAACAGTACTAAACCCCATCAATACCTAGTAAAAAATTTTCTTCCCCCCTCACACAGCAAACAGCAAAATGATGATAAAAGTCTGTTAGCAAGACATTGATCTGCCACTTCTAAATTCCAAAATAAAAAGCAAAAGCATCACTCCTAGGGTGCACACACACATCTAATAAGTGCAATTAATTAGCCACCTACCACTGTGTCAGGCTGCTGCCCACAGAGCAAGAGGAAGCAGCAAAAAACACTAAGATTTTTGGAGCCAACCTTGAGCCAGCTCCTAGCAGGAGTGGGAACAGAAGAAATTGAAAAATGTACAACCATGTGATGCCACTGAAACAGTTCAGGTCTTCAGAGTCATCATGGCAAACACCAGTCAGAGAGATTTATCTAAATCAGACCCAGTGTCTGACGCTGCTCTAGGGGCCAGTTAAAAGAGGCTGTAAAATTACTGAAGTGGAAGTTTTCTAGGCTGTAAATATCTGTAATGTAACAAATTCATGGCTGTGCTGTCTTCTGCTTGAAGAATTGCTCTTGCATGTGTGAGGAAATCAAGTCAAAAATCACAGGCACGTGAAACTCTAGATGTAATGTGAGAGGAGCTTCCTGTTCAAAGTAGCCAAATTATAGGTTGAAAACAAAAGCAAAGCAAACCATACAAGGCTTATCCACAAATCTGACAATAAAAAAAGCTGATTCTTAGGCAGCTCCAAGAGGATTTCTTTCCTCTTAGGTCCTTTCATGTCCAGCAACTCAGAAAGCATCACACATTTCCAAGAGTACAAAAATCAGCACAGGAATGTTCAAAACATAAGCTGTGAAGGCCTTGTGTTCTAACCTTGTCTCTCAAACACATACTTTGTTGTCCACTGTTATCTCCTAGCACATATGCAACTCCAGACAACAGGAAGTGTTTATCAGCAGGCATCAGTTTCTGCTTGACCTCCAGGAACCACTTGAGACAGGGAGAGGCAGAGACTGATGCAAAGCTGAGGTTTCCTTAATGTTCCAAGCTGCCTGTGTGTCTGCAGAACCCAAAATAACTCTGCTTACAGGCTGAGAGGCTGCCTTCCTCTGGCATTCCTCCTCACCAGGCTGTGAAATGTGTCTGTGCCCCGTTTTGTGTCCAAGGTAACCCCAGACAAGCACTGAGCACGCCCTCACCTGTCGTGGCTGATGAGGATGTGTGCAGGCACTGGCACCATGACCTGCAGCCCCTCCTGCTCCCTGGCACGGGCGTGCAAGCACACCAGCTGCAGCTCTGCCACGCCCACCGGCTGCACCTCGTGCCAGCTCCTGCCTGGAAAGGTTCGTGGGGATGAGAGGGGCAGAACACAGAACACAAGTTGTAATCAGTCAAATAACAAATGCAGTATCTAAGTTAACAGCTGAGGTTTTCTTTCCCCTCCCTCTCCCTCTTTTCCCCCTTTTCTTCACAGGAAAATTCCATTCATCTGCCAAATTCCCCTCCTGAGAAGCAATCCTGCTGAAGAAATCCAAGGAGCAGGAGCAGCCTGCTGGCTCCAGGGCTGCAATGAGGGGTGGTGAAGTGATCTGGCTGACAAAGCTGCTCTGCAAAAGGCAAAAAGAAGATAAAACCACGCAGCTTTAGTCACCTGCCTGGGCACCCTGATCTGTGAAGCAGGAGGTGCTAAAAGCATGGTTAATGATCACACACAGCTCTAATCTCCTCCTTGAAGGGATAAGGATGAAGGTTTTGCTGCAGAACTACAGAAATCTTCTCTTGAAGACTCTTAAGGCATTTTCTTCAGAGGGGAAACAGCAACAGAGGCAGCAATTCCTGGGCTGGAAAATCCCTCCCTTCCCTGACCTTGAGAAGCACCAGGCTCCAAGCAAAACTGAAATATTTTCCTTAGGCTGGCTGGCTGCCTACTCACAGTCCCTTTTCAGTAAAGCCAGCTTGGAAGAAGCCAGACAGCAGTTTATACATCACATAACTCTGCTGCACTCTGAGCAGACACCAGCAGCCTACACTGGATTTCACAGGACCATTGTGGCCAGAAAAGCCCTCCAAGGCCACGGAGTCCCACCAGTGACCTGACACTGCCAGCTCCTCCACCAAGCCATGGCTCTAAGCACAACACACAGAATTTATTATAAATTACTATACTGTTACATAATATTACTACAGTGGTTGTAAACTACTGCTACCACACTTGCAAATGATCTTCTTTGCTGGAGGAACCACTGCCCTTTCCAGAAAACAGGCCAGCACACAGCAGCCACGTGCTAAGTGGTGACTTTTGTCAAACACTATCATTAACTTCACTTTAATCTGCAAGTGAGGACTATTACAAGCTCAGCCACTGAACTTGTCACTTCAGCTTCCTGCATTTCTTTTCCTCCTCCTCCTCCTCTTTTGCTTTTATTTCCATGCTGACTGCCTTTTCCCTGGACACCTGGAAGTGCTGGATGAAACGGGCCCTCACCTTTGCACAGGCTCCAGGGAGGCAGAGGACAGAAACTTCCAGCACAAAAACTCTCAAAACGGGCACCAAGGACTTGGGAAGGCCCTGTCCCAGTGCAAACAGTGAATTTAACAGGGCAAAGGCATCAGCTGGGACACAGCCACATCCCCCACTTACCTTCCAGGAGGTCCAGGTACACCAAAAAGGCAGCGTAGACCTGAGTGCTGTCAGACACATCGAGTGACATCATTTCTGTGAACTGAGACCCACAGAGGAACGGTGATGAGGGAAAGCACAGCTTAAACTAAGAATGCACACACCATCCCTCCAGCCAGCACAGCCACTGGAGGTTCAAACCAGTCTGAAGGTGATCAAAAAGCAGTTTTTTCCTGACAGTATCTCAAAAGCTCCTTTTCCCGCATTCCCCACATTTTAGCACTTTAAAAAAAAAAAAAGCAAGCAAAATAAACAAACACAAGAGGAGCCACAACTATTTCTGGAACAGCTCTAGCTTTGTGGAATTTCACCTATGTTGGGTAAATAATTGTACCTATTTTTGCTGCAACACATCAACGTAAGACCAAATTAAACAGCTCCGTGTTTTCGGTGTGGCAAAAATTAAGACGGAGTCGAAGTTTAAGGCATTGGGATCCCACACTTTGTAACCAGCTGGGATCCCACGGTTTACAACCTCCGCCCTGCTGGCAGTGGCATTCCCCCTCGATAAACCCAATATAATAGATTATACGGACATCTCCCCGCAGAATTCTCTCGGGGGGACCCCACGGGCACCTCCAGGGGGGAATCCTGGGGGGAGACCGAGGGACCCCCGCCCCGGCCTACCGTGGGGTGAGCCGTGATCCAGTTGCCGCCAGCCGCCCCCGACCAGCTGCCCTGTGCCCCCGGGGCGCTCCCGGCCGCGGAGGAGCCCCGGCCCGGGTCGGTGCCCCCCGGGGGCGGGCAAAGGCCGCTCCGGCCCGGCCCGGCCGCGGGCTCCATGCCTGTGTGCAACGCGGCTTCACTCCGGGCGGCGCCGCGCAGCCCAGCGCGGCCCGGAAACTGCCGCTCCGCCACGGCCGTTCCGCCGCCGCTCCGTTCCGACCTCCCCGCCCCTTCGCCGCGGACAAAGGCGCCGCAACAAAACATATCCATCCATATATATATATATATACACACAAATAAACATATATTCCTCACGTATTCCTTTCACAGTCCCTTCTCCTAAAGGCTCCACAGCGTTATCCATCTGCAGTGCCCAGAGCTTTGCCAGACTACCTTCAAGGTATTGCCATTAAAAGCACTACCTTGGGCTGCTTCGCTAGAAATATCTCTGATTTCGCCTAATGCCAAGTGTCCCACGTCTGGCTTATCAGCTCCATCTGCCTCGGTGACTGCTCTGATGAATTTCAAACAGCGGCTATTCTGCAATAAAGCGTCAGTGAAAATTGGTCTGTATGTATGTAACACATAATTGTATGTGGTTTGTAGGCACAGGAAGTCATATTTGGGCAAATCTAATTAAAGGAATTTTGTGGTGAAATGAGCAGCCATTCTGGCTGCTTAACAAGTATTGTGTTAGACAGCACTTCAGTTCCCTGGGCACAGAATAGATAGGTAGATGGGATTTAAAAATCCAGTCTCCTTCATGGAAGAGTTGGCAACAGCAGTTCACTCAGCTGCTGGGAAAATAATTGGGTGGATTTGAGTTCTTAGAGGTGAAGAAGTGAAATGAGATGGATCCACATCAACCTCTAGATTAGTCAATTTACATCAGCAGGATGGAACCTCTGTTTTCCTCAGTGTGGGAAACAATTTAGAAGAAATCTGCCTCAGAGAGAATTTGTCACGTGCCAAACCGAGAGATTCCAGCTGTCATAGCTGGAATCTCCTTGTTTGGTGTAGATATTTAGAGGAGGCTGAAACAAATGGCTTAAATTGATTTCTGTGGGACTTACATCTGCAAAAAGCCGTTTCTTCCTCAAAGCTAAAACATTTCACCACGGAGTGCCTCATTGTCTTCTCACAGCAGGATGGAATCTGGGCTTGAAAAAACCCAACAGGACATAACTTTGGCCACCAATAAAGAAGTCGGAATGAGTACAGATTTTTGTACATGAAGTCATACACATTTACAGGTGTTGGGATGACACGAATTGTCAGGTAACTGTTTCCCTGAGCTCTCCAAACTGTGTCCCAGCTGTGTGTGACTGGGAGAGATGAAGCTGAGCTGACTCTGTTCTCTTCTGCACGGAAGAACAGCTCATGCTTCAGGCTTCTGCTGCTCTCTCTTCCGTGCTCCACGGCATCCAGCCAGCGCAGGGGGCTGTGTGAGCCCGGGAACATCACTTTGGAGAGCAAATCGCTGCCTTTGGGATGCTGCTGGATTCTTTTCATTTGCCCCCAGCAAATCCTTACGGCTCTGATGCTGCTCACGAAATAAAAAGAAGAGAGGAGTCTGAAAAGAGCTGAAGGTAGTTTAGATTTCACTGAGGACATCAAGAGCTGCACAGGGTAAAGGCAAAGGCGGGCAGAGGAGGGGCTTATTTCTGCTGAAACATCCCAAAATCGGGAGTGTGACCCAGGCTGTGTCCAGCGGATGGAAAATGCCAGCTCCCAGCCCTCCCCACCCAGCAGAGTTTGGCAGCGTTAGTCCCCACCCTCCAGATGGAATTCCGTGCGTGTGGATGGGGCTGGCTCCTGTCAAACTCTAATCACCCTCGCTGCCTGCAGGGCTGCTCCTTCTATTCGGATAATGAATCCAAGCATAAAAGCAACATGTGGCAAACTAACCACCACAGAAAAGCCTCATTAATGCATCATTCTAGAAGGACAATTATCAAGGCATGGTGAAGGGCAAACAGGAGGAACACATTTGCACTGATTGTTCAGGAAGATGAGTGCAAATTGAGAGAATTTCTCAAATTTTAGTGCAGGTGATTCTATGACCCCTGGAGATTCTTTATTGAAGTTTCCTAGAATGATCCTTTTTGGGAAGCTCAGGAAACTGAGACAATATAATTTGGTGTGCCTGATAAATTAGGTTCTATAAGCAAAGAGGAGCAAATTAACTATATATATAACACGTGTGTGTATATTTATACATACACTACCTGGATGCAAGCAGTTCACAGTGGGATTATGGATAATTAAACAATTGTTTGCTTGCTAAAGGTTTCCACCTTTTTAAGTGTTGCAAGCACACAGCCAACACCAGCACCTGCTCAAAGTCCACCTTGGAGAAACTTCCTACCCACAATAAAACCCAAATATGCTGTGATGGGGCCCTTAGAGTTAATTAGAGATTTCATCTTGAAAAGGGTCCAGCATGCCCAAATCCTATTAACTTCTAAGAGAATTGTGATTACTACGATTTTAAGATCATGACCCAATAATTTTAATTGTTGGAATATGTTTTATGTATTTTTATGCTAAATTGCCGTTTATTTACTCACGGGAATATTTTCATGGTGGATAAGTCAGTGAAGTACAGGGAAAATCTTCCCTGTATTTCCTATCTTTAAAGAGGTGCAGAGAAAGCTGGGGTTGTTCAGCCAGGAGAGGAGAAGGCTCCAGGCAGACCTTCGGGGCACTTCTCAAAGAGAGGGAGAGTGACTTTTTAGAAGGGCAGATAGTGATAGGACAAGGGGAACGTCCCTAAACTGACAGAGAGTACCTTTAGATTGGATATTATGAAGAATTTCTTCCCTGTGAGGGTGGGGAGGCCCTGGCACAGGCTGTCCGGAGAGGCTGTGGCTGCCCCATCCCTGAAGTGTCCAAGGCCAGCTTGGATGTGGCTTCCACCTGGGGCAGCAAAAGGTGTCCCTGCCATGGCAGGGGGCTGGAATGAGACTGTCCTGAAGGTCCCTTCCAACCTGAGCCTTTCTATGACTCTACCATATCAATCCTCCAGCTGCGTTCCAGCTGGAACAGGGCATCCTGCAGCGTGGGATGGGTGTGGGGTGTGCGGCTGCTTCGTACGGGCGTTTGTTGTCACCGATGTTTGCCAAAAACGCCCTGATATGGAAGCTCAAAGTTGCTTTAATTCCCTACCCGTGTGGAAGGCATCGAACAAAGAGTCAGCGTTAGCAGCAACGCTCCGAAAGCCTTTTTTAAATCCCAAAACCCGGGCGGAGGAATGCGGGTTTGCAGCTTTCCCCGCGGGCGCTGAGCAGCAGCGCTGCCCAGGGGCTGGGGCTGGCACCGGCTCTCGGGCTGGCACCGGCACCGGCTCTTACCCGGGCGGCACCGGGGGGCGGCAAGCGGGGCTCGCCGGGCGGGCGGCGGCGCCGCTCGGCTCCTCCTTCCCCTTCTCCCTCCTCCTGCTCTCCGTGCCCCGCCTCCTCCCGCGCTCCCTGCGCCGCAGCCCGCTCTGCCTGCCGGCGGCTGGGCGGCTGCCCCTCGCCCATCATGGCTGCGAGCGCGCCGCTGCTGCTGCTGCTGCTGCCGCCGCTGCTGCGCGGCTGCGGGGCCGCCCCCGAGCCGCCCGAGCCGCCCGAGCCGCCGGGGCCCGAGCAGCCCGCGCTGCCCGAGTCGGCGCTGCTGCAGCCCACCGTGCTGCTCGCCATCCTCGCCCGCAACGCCGCGCACACGCTGCCGCACGTCCTGGGCTGCATCGAGAGGCTGCGCTACCCCAAGAGCCGCATCGCGCTCTGGTAAGGCCGGGCGGCGCGGGGACGGGCGGCTCGGCGGGAGCGGGCAGCGCTGAAGGGAAGCGGCTGCGCCCGCCCCGGGAGCCGGGGCTGGGCTGTGGCCGTCGGGGAGAGCTCGCCCCCCGTTCCGGGGTCCCCCCGCGTGTGGGGAACGCGGAGGCTCTGCCGGGAGCCGCAGGGGGATGAGTTATCCCAGCAGAGCTGGCCTGGAGCCTGGGAACATTCAGCGCCGGAGCATGTGTCCAAATCCACAGGCACGGAGAACTCCGGCCGGTAAATCCCGGGCTTTGTGGGAGCTGGTGGGGATGTTCCAGGGCTGGAGAGCGGGCGGGCTGGGTAGGTGCTGGTGGGCATTGAAAGGAGCATTGTTGCCAGGCTGGAGGCTGGAAGATGGATTAAAAGATGTATTCAGGAATCGCAGCATGGGGGCAGCTGCGGCGGTCAAACAGGGGTCGGGATGGGGGAATTGGAGCAGTTTGGGAGCTGGTCAGTCTGCCTTTGCAAGGAGACAAAGAAAAAAAATAATCTTTCAACCTGACCGAAGTGTTGGGAGGAACAGGATCGCTTGGAAAGCCCCAAGCAGAGTTTCTTTTTTCTCTGTAGAGCCTGATCCAAAGTTCGCTGAAGTCTGTGGTGAGACTTCTGTTAACATAAAAAGTCAAAGTTTCGTTTTACTTTGAGGGGGCGTGGGGAGGACCTGCTCCCCAGTCACATCACTGAAGTGTCATTAAACAGATGTTTCTCTGTGTGCTTCAGTAACGTGGCTGTAATTTGTCTCCAAGTATAGGGCTCTGCATAACGACAGTGCATGGATCTTTTTTTTTCTTTTTTTTCTTTTTTTCTTTTTTTTCCCCCTTTTCTTTTCTTGTTACAAGCAATTTGTGCTATCAGGCCAAATTCTGAGAGTGCCACACGAGTGTGTGGAATCACAGGCTGGTGTGTGGCAGTGGGTAAATTCACATTCGTCTCTGTGTAAATCTATGACTCTTCATTCATTTGTATCAGTAGGAATTTTGCCAGTTGAGGTTTCCTCATAGCAGATGTGTATAAAAACAGATATTATCAGACCCCACATGGCCTGTGATTCAGCTGAGCTTGGTGCTTATAAAAACTTGTGGGAGTTGTAAGTGCAGTCCTGATCACCAAAGCAGAGCACATCTCAAAATGCCTCTTGCTGTACAAGTTCAAAGTAAGTTTTGTGGCAGGGGGTTTAAGTCCTGCAGGTAATTGGTTGGCTCTACAACTTTTTCAGGACATTACTTGTATTATCCTTACTATACTTAAGGTCTCTGCAATATTGTGTGAAAGTATTTGTGGGGACTTACTTTAACCTAGCTTAAAATACGCTAAGGTTCTTATAAGAAATC